AGACAGTGCTCCTGAATATTGCCCAACGTCAATCAATGGGGAGGAGGAGTTGGGGGGGCGACGAAGTGGGGGGAGGGAGTGGACGAGGTGGAGGACCAGAGAGGGGGACGACGAGGAGGACCAGAAGGAGCAGGGGGAGGCAGAGCGGGAGGGCGAGGAGGGAGGCCTCCTCGTGCTTTCCTCCTCCCTCCTCCTCGTTCCTCCCCCCTTCCCCTCCATCTCCTCCTCGTGCTCCTACACTCTTCCCGTCGCCCCCGTCAGCCCTTAGCCCGAGCCCGGCGCGTCTCCTCACGTGGTCGTTGCGCCTCCCTCCTCCTCCTCCTCCTCCTCCCCCTCCTCCTCCCCTCTCCTCCTCCTCCTCTCCCTCCTCCTCCTCCTCCCTCCTCCTCTCCTCCTCCTCCTCCCTCCTCCTCCCTTCCTCCTTCCTCCCTCTCTCCTCCTCCTCCCCTTCCTCCTCTCCTCCTCTCCTCCTCCTCCCTCCTCCTCCTCCCTCCTGCTTCCCCCTCCTGCTCCTTCTCCTCCTCCGTCCTCCTCCTCCCTGGGGCGGAGGAGGCGGCCTCGCCCGCCCGACGGCCGCCGCTGGAGCCGCCCGCCCCCCCCCCCAGCCGCACCGCCGCCACGCCCCCGGCCTCGGAGTGGAACGTGCCGCACGACGGAGGGGCCTCGGGGGGGGGGGGGTCGGCCACGCGCAGAGGGTCGAGCAGTGGCGAAGCGTCCCGGCTCGCCTATAGCCTTCTGATGTTCCAGCCTACTTTAGCCTTGATCGCCAGAAAGAATTTCGAGCCCCAGAGCAAGTATCGAAACTCAAGGGTTTTCACGTGCCGGGCCCGGCTCGCTTATAGTAGGGTATGGCCATGACCCCAGGTGAGGGGACCCGGTTAGTGGTAGGGCCTCGGGGCCCCTCAATTGGCCAGATTCACTAAACCAGGTCTGCCGTAGCTGGTGTTTTTCGGGTGACGGCAGTTCCGGTTAGCGGGAATGGGGCGGGGGGGCGTCCTCCAGTACACATCATTAAACCAGGTCCCACTAAACCCAGTTCTGCCAACGCCCGATTATAGTCCCACCAAACAATGGTCTAAGAACTTTTTGTGGTCTGCACGAAATGTTTTTACAACATTTCTGGCTGAGATTGTCTTGTTTTAACACATCGGGTTTATGCTCTAAGAACATGGTGTTTGCTCTGAGAACATGTTTGGGCTCTAAGAACATGTCGTGGTAGGGCTATAGAAATGCCGGGACGGTCGGTCAGGTGGGGGTGAACAAACATGCAACGGGAGGTTGCTCCGCATTCTCGGCCCCTGTGGGGCCCGGACCTGGCCTCGGGACCGTCCGCAAGAGATCTCAGGAGGCACTCGCTCGGCCAGGGCCCTGGGGAGACATTTGCGAAGTCGCGGGCTCCTGAGAGGCCCGCAGGTCTGGCGAAGGTTTGAAAAGTAAGGCTGCCAACGACTTGATTGTTCAAGTGCGCCGATATCTGCGCACGACATGGCTTTTTCCGCTTACGTTTCTACCAGGACGACGTCCTTCCGTGATTGAGGTTGGACTTTCTCACGCCGACCGTACACATTCTTAGCGTTTCGCGTATCCCCACCAGCTACCCTGGCCGCTTGCAGTCAGCTCAGCCAGCTCCCCATCAGCCCGCGGCCCCACCGGCGGCAGGTTCTGAGTGCGGGCTCGGCCGTTGTGTTTTTAGGCTTGCGCGTTGCTAATTTGACAGGCCCGTGGCCCAGACCTCTCAGCCCGGCGACTGCGAATCCGCGTCCGCCCGCGACCAAAAAAAGTATCCCCACCAGTGCGCTGAGTCTCGGTTCTCACCGGGCGTCGCTCGTTGCTCTGTTTTCCCTTCGCAGGAGGCACAGCCTGCTCCTGCCTGCCTGGCGTCCGAGCCGCTTCGCGCGCCTGCGTGCCAAAAAGTATGATCCCCGCCGGCCCATCCAGAAGCAGATCGCCAGGCGAGCTGCCTTGATCGGGGGAGCGCAGGTGCGTGCAGTGCAACAACCGCCTCGGAAGTGTTTTTTCGGAGGCTTCGTGGGGCCATTTTGGGTCTCGTTTGGGGCTCTCGCAGAACCACGTGGGGCATGCTTAGGGCCCTCTTGGGGCTCTTTTGGGAGGTCGAGGGGCCCTCTTGGGGCTCTTGGGGGGGTCTGGGAGGCCTCTTGCGGCAGTTTTGGGCAACAACAAAAAAGGCGAGGTCCTCGATCCCCCCTCCCCCCCTCGGAGGCTCAAAGATGGCGTCTTGGGGCCGTTTTGGGGCGCTATTGGGGCGCTATTGGGCGCTCTTGGAGCCCTTTTGGGACCCTCTCGGCCCCCTTCTTGGGGCTCTCTTGAGCCGTCTTGGGGTGGCAACCGCTGGTTTCGCCGACGACTGGTTTCGCCCGGCTGGTTTCGCCCCCCGGCGAAACCAGCTTCCGTCGAAACCAGTTGCCGTCGGTGAAACCGGCTGCCGTCGAAGAAACTGCCCGATCCGATTCGCCCGCTAGGGTCCGCCCGCCCGACCCGACCCGTCTGTTAGGGTTCGCGCGTCCTCGGTCGACCACGCCCACATTTTAGGGCACCGCCCGCCCGACCCCCCGCGGGCAAGCGAGCCCCGTGGCCTTCTCGGGCCCCGCGGACCCCACGAGGAGCCCTCCAGGAGCCCTGGGGCCTCTCGGGACGGCTCCACGAGAGATCCGCAGGGCACGCCAAAGTGGGCACTTCCGCGGCGCAGGCGCAGCCCCTAGGACGGCCCACTGGCGCTCGACAAAAGCCATTCCCGACGTGGGTGCTGGTGCTGGGGCAACGCGTACTGAGTTGACATGCGGTTAACCCGCATAGTAAGGATGATCATTTGTTCAAGGTCACCCTTCGCATCTTTCCGTTGCGGCCCATCCTTGGCCGCTCTCGCTGGCCGCGCCCCGCCCGCTGAGTGCCGACATGGCCTTCAAGGCCCTTGCATCTGCATCGCGCATCTTCATTCTACGGGTTGGCTGTAGGTGTTTGCAGCGGTTTTGCAGACTTCGCCTCCTCGGTTTCTAAAGCGCCCGAGCGGCTACAATTTTCCCCACAGGGGTCCCCAGGGGGTCCCAGGACCGCCCAGGCTGGATTTCAAGACGCCCCCAGGAGGGCCTGGACTGAAACCGTTGCGGCTCAAGTTGGCTTGGCTCCAGGAGGCGTCGCTCTCCTCAGGTGAGAAGGCGTAAGGGTTCGAACTGCTGACCGCAGACGGGCGCGAATATGACTGGCATGCCGAAAACACCCATGATTCTGCCGAGAAGACTTGAATTGTTTTCCAGTTTCCAGCGTCTTGTACCCTTCTCGTCATTTAACCTTTCAGCGTCATTGATGAGTCTCCACAATTTTCTGAACCTTCGCATAGTTGATTATTTTGCGCTGTTCACTGGCCTGTGTGTCCTTTCTTCCTTCCTTGCCTCGTTTCTGGCTCTCGGTTCCCCCTCTGCCTTCTCCCTCCCCGTGCCCTGCGCCTTGCCATGATGTTTCCTTGCCTTTTGTGTCTTGTGTGCTCTCCCTCCGTCTCCCTGCTTGGCTTCCCTGCTCCGTCTCCCCGTCTTCCGTCTGTCGGCCCAATCTGTCCTTCCTGTCGTCTTTCCTCTCCCCCCCCTTCCCCCTACCGCTCCTCGGCTCCTCGTTTTCCCGCCTGTCTCGTTTCCTTGCCTGGCCCGCGCTTCTTTGTCGGCCCGCCCTGTGGTCCGAATAAGAGTACGCGCCCCGGTTTGCCCAGGCGCTTTTCCGTGCGCCATCAGGCGCCTGGCCCGCCGAGGCCGGTCAGCAGATCGCCTGTTCGTCTTGTATCCTTCTCGTGATCATGTTTGCCCGCTCTCGACCGCTGGTGGATGCCCTGCGAGGTTGCGGTGGATGGAGCCTGGGCGAGATGGCGAAGCCATCTGCTGAATCAGAGCAGTCAACGTCATTACAAAGTACCCTGAAGGAGATTGAAGTGGAGAAGTCTCGAGGGTCCGCAGAGAACAGCGAGGCTGGCGAGGATGCTGAGAGCCGTGCAGTTGGCGTTCTGGGGATGAGTCTTGGACGGAGTCCAACAGGTCACCCGCGGTCCCGAGCCCTTGTCCAGGACCCAGACCAGGTGGTTACCAGTCCATCGGTCACTCGGCGTACAGCGGGACCCTTGAAGAGGCCGATCGCTCTGATCCATGTCGGGCCGCCCAAGACAGGGACGACGTAAATCCAACATGAACTTTGGACGTACCGTGACGAGCTCTTCGAGAAAAATCGAATGTATTGTGTGCCCCGTGTGGAAGAACATCTGATGTTTACCCCAGCGCATCACTTTCTTTCGCAACAAACCGAAACGATACCATGATGACAGCCTTCAAGGATAAGCTCAGCGAGGCAGTGGCTAACGGCCTTAGCGCCGCGCACATTGGTTTTAAACATTGCAAGAATTTCATGGATTCCCATGATTAACGTACCAAAAATTGTGTTTTTGAAGGATTCTGGATTATGCGGGCGCAACAGTTATGTTGAGTTGTGGTGCTGAAGTCCCAACAATGGCGCTCTGGCACGATTCCGGAGCGTCAAGGCGCAGCAGGCAGGTTGATACGTGGCGTTGAAATCGCGAGAACAATGTTTTAGCATGCTTCAGGATCTTCAAACGGCTATCTTCCAACGAGGCAAAAGCCTCAATGGAAATGAGCCGTTGTGGGGGGCCTATGAAGAGGGAGTTTGAAGGGAGGGTTAATTCCAATATCGTTGGTGGTTCTTGGTTTTACCCTGGTCCTCCTCCTCCTCCTCCGCCTCCTTCTCCTTCTCCTCCGCCTCCTCCCCCTCCCTTCCCTCCTCCTCCTCGTCCTCCTATTCCCAACCTCCTCCCTTTCCTCCTCTTCTTCCCCCTCCTCCTCCTTCCTAGGGGCAGCACGGAGGATGAAGTAGGGACAGCGAAGAGGCTTGCCCTGCGGTAAGTCGCGCGCAGAGCGGGCGGGCAGAGGGGACATCGACCACACCTTCACCGTCACGGCGCAGAAGCCCGGCGCCTCGGCCAAGGCCCACGGCGTTTCCTCGGCCCTCCTGCTGTCGGGCCCCTCGCGCTCACCGCCCGGCGACGGCCGCGCGAAAAAGTGGCGCCCGGAGGCGGGCAAGGGCGATGTTCAGCGACTGCAAAGGGTGTGGTTACGCCAGTGTGCGGTTTGCGATCTGCGCCGCCGGTCTGAGGAGAAAAAGGCACCCATACCGCCATCCCTCCCTCGTTTTCCCCTCTTTGGGCCTACTGGGATGCCCCCGTCGCCACCGCTGGATTCGTCTCGAGATTCTGATCAGACCGCGCCCGTGGAAAGGTCCGGGGAGCAGCGGTATCGGTACCTTTTTGTCCCCCCTCGTCCATTCGTTTCTCTTGCAGATCGGATTTCGCCACCGAGCACGACTGCCCAACCGACTCGCGATGGATACCAGCCGCCAGGAGTACCGACTGGTTGTTACGTACCACCTGAGGCCGCCTACGTATCGCACGTTTGAGGCCGCAGCCTCGCCGCCATGCCCTGATTGCGGGCAAAAGCTGTATCCATATCCAGCGCGTTTTCGATTTCCTTGGAGGGGGATCCACACGGCCGAGGCGCATTGGATATGGACAGCCATCTCAAGGGGGCAGATTTGTCCATACCCAGGGCACCTCGGGTCACTGGCGAAGGGAGTCCGAGTCTCCAATCTGCAGAGGATTCGGACAACATTATTTCCCGCACTGATGGGCACGGAAGGGCTCCCCAGATGAGCGTGCGGGTCTCCAGCATTCGTTCCTCTTCTTTTCGTTCCCTCCGTTCCTCGTCCTCCCAGACCGCGGTAGGCTTAATGCCGCCAGTGGACTCGGAGCCTGCCGGCAGCGAGCCACCTGCGCTACCGTCGAGGATGCGCAAACACGGATTAGGTTTAAGTTGGGAATGTCCTTTTACAGGAGGACTATTCGCAATGGTTTAAACTAATCCAAGTATTACGTTTGGTTGTTTCGAATATGTGTAAGCATTTATTGATGTGTTTTCATGTTGCGTTTCCATTTAATGTTTGTTCACCATGTTGACCATGTTTGATGATTGATCATGTTGCACATTGTTTGAGCTGTTTTTTTGTTTGATCGTTTCTTGTCCATTTATGCTATGTTCGATTAGTTCTTGACCATTGTTTGAGCATGCTCTAATCACTTTTTGACTATTCTGGCTGCTTTCTGTCTTTCTGTTTAAGCCCGACTGTAGGAGGACATGCCGGGCCTGAGATTCGCCCGCGTGATGTCAGAAGCCAATGCCCAAAGGCTCCCACGAGGGCGCGAAGTTCTTCGCGCTTCGCGGTCGCGAAGTGCGAATTACTTCGCGCTCTCGCGCCGCCCCCCCCCCCGAAAAAGGGAGAAAGGGAGGACGAGGAGGAGGGGGAGAAGGACCGAGGACCGCGAGGCGCAAAAAGCACATGACTTCTCGCCCTCGTGGGCGCGCGAAGTGGGGAGTGGGGAGCCCTTTACCAGCCTCGAACGTATCCCTATCCCTAAGATTGACGCGCCAAAAGGCGATGACAGTCTCAGGGTTCCGCCCGCAAAAAAGATGTGGGGATCCCTGAGACTGGCATCGTGATGAGGAGGTGCCCAGCATAGGGATAGGGCTGTGCTCCAGGCTGGTGAGCCCTTGATGCCGGCGCCATGGCGAGACGCGAGCCCCCGAACGGCATCTGCCGGCGGGGCCCGCGTATGCGCACGCGCGGAACCCCCCCGCGGCCCGGGGGGCGGCCGCCGCACCCCGGCGCCGCCGCCGCTGCCGTCCCTGGCTCGGGGGCCCCCAAACTGACCAGCCTCGAGCGTAGCCCCATCCCTGAGATTGACACGCTCAAAAAAGGCGATGACCATCTGAGGGACTCGCCCTCAAAAAGTAAGGGGGTCCCTGAGACTGGCGTCGTGACGAGGAGGTGCCCAGCAGAGGGGTAGGGATCTGTTCCAGGCTGGTAGCAAACGGGGTGGTGACCACAGCCCTCTCCCTATGCTGGGCACCTCCCCATCACGATGCCAATCTTAGGGATTCTCTTATTTTTTGAGGGCGAATCCCTAAGGCTGTCATCGCCTTTTGGCGTGTCAATCTTAGGGATCGGGATGCGTTCGAGGCTGGTAAACTAGGGGGCCGCCCGGCGCCGTCGAGCGCCGCCGCCCGCGCCGCGGAGGCGGCCGCTGCCCACGGCAGCGGCCGAGTAGCGACGAGAGCCAGCCCGCGCGCGCGCCGAGGGGGCGCCGCGCGCGCGAGGTCGGCGCGACCCCTGCGGGACCAGAGAACACACGACCTTGGCATCGCTCGGACGTGTGCATGTTTCCTTCGGCGAGGACCATCGAGGAGCATCCTTGATCATTTGGGGGAAAAGCCACGCACGACACCGACAAAAAACACAGGGAAACGTCCGAGCGATGGGCAGGGCGCCGTCGAGCGCCGCCGCCCGCGCCGCGCGGCGGCCGCTGCCTACGGCAGCGGCCGAGCGGCGAGAGGCAGCCCTCGCGCGCGCGCCGAGGGGGCGCCGGGCGCGAGGTCGGTGCGACCCCTGCTGGACCAGATAACTTCAGGAGGGAAAAAACACACAGACACATTTCATCGTCGATGCCCCAGAAAATATAGGAAAATATAGGAAGTGGGGGGGGAGACAGACACCAAGAAACTATGGGAAAGTATGGGGAAAATGTTTATTTGTGTGTACTTATTTGTGTGTCCCAGGGCCCCTTCAACAACACACGACAGCACCCCACCTACGTCCCCGATAGGGGGCCACATGCGAACCCTACCCCTGCCCCCCACGATTTCTGAGGGGGAGGGTGGGGTTCACTGCGCTCGGGAGCTTCCGACGGAAGTGAACCCCACCTTCCACCCCAGAAATCGTGGGGGGCAGGGGTAGGGTTCGCATGTGGCCCCCTACACACCGTGCGGTGAGTCGGTGGGGATTCGGGGTCACCGCACGGTTTTGGGACTCCAGCCCCTTTCCGAGGACGTCTCGGGCGACAAGGGCCTCCAGGGTCCCAAAACCGTGCAGTGACAGACCGTGCAGTGAGGTATCTTGGGGTTCCGAGGTCACCGCACGGTCTGTCACCGCACCGTTTCGAGACTTCAAACTGGCCCCCCGGGGCGCTCCGATCGCCATGACAGATGGGCAAGGGCGCCCTCGAGGGCGCGAAGTTCTATTCGCGATCCGCGGCTCGGCGACGATCCCTCCTCACTCCTCCTCCTCTCCCCTGGGAGGCGGCGCGAGAGCGCGAAGGTGTTCGCGCTTCGCGCAGCGCGCAGCGCGAAGTTGGGAGCCCTTGGAGGAGGGCCCCGAGGAGGGCGCTCTTCCGGAGGTTTCCCGCTGCCTCTGGCGTCTGCCGGGGGCCCTCCGCGGGCCCGGGGACTGCCGGCAGCGATGGGCAGGAGGGCGAGCCGGTCCTGGGGACCGCCCCCCCGGGGGGGCTCCTCCTCCTCCTCCTCCTCCTCCTCCTCCTCCTCCTCCTCCTCCTCCTCCTCCTCCTCCTCCATCTCCTCCTCCTCCTCCTCCTCCTCCACCTCCTCCCTCCTCCACCTTCTCCATCTCCTCGAGAGGATCCTCCCCTCCAGGGCCCAGGCAGGGCCCGGGGCCCGTGCCATGTTTCCTGATCGGGCCGGACGAAAGGGGGTTTACGAAATTCGGGGCTCGAGAGACGGGGTCAATGCAAACGGGGGTCAGCCAGGGCAGCAGATGTCAATGCAAACGGGGGTCAGCCAGGGCAGCAGATGCTGCAGGATCCTGCGAGGACCCCCTCTGGCTGACCCGGGTCAGCGAGCCGCTCGTGGCCGCGAGGCAGCCGCGCATATTGGTTGACCCGGGTTTGCGAAGACCTTTGTTGCAGTTTTTTTCTTGCATTGCAGTTTTTGGTTTCCTGCTGACCCAGGTTTGGATTGAACCGGGTCCGAAGATCCCCGAGAAATCCGTAAGGGCTTCGCCCCATGCCGCCGGCCCCCTGTCTCAGAGAACGGGGGATGCAGAAGCCAAATCATGAGGTCTGGGCGCCGCCGCGAAGCAGTGTCGGGACCTGTTTGTTTTTCGACCCTGACCCTACGGATCTGCGCCACGCGTGCCACCGAATTTTCAGAAATGTGGCAGATGCCACCAGATGTCAGAAATGTGGCAAATCCCGTGTGTTTTTGCACCCTGACCCTGCCGATCTGCGTGAGGGGTGCCACCGAATTTCAGAAATGTAGCAAATCCCGTGTGTTTTTGGACCCTGACCCTGCCGATCTGCGTGAGGGATGCCACCGAAGTTCAGAAATGTGGCAAATCCCATATGCTTTTGGAGTACAAGTTCCCAAGACAAGTTCCCAAGACGTTTGAAGACAAACGCCGATCCTAACAACAACGAGGAATGGGAACTGGATTGGCCCCACCATTTGCCATGCCAATCAACGAAAAAGTTGCCCTACAGAACTGCGGCTGGTCAAGCACCAGTTGAGTATGATTTCCTCCGACCATTTACGATAGCGAGCGGTAAGCTCCGCAGAGGTACGATGCGCAATAATGAGTATCCGGGGGAGGAAGGCCATGTCGCACAGACTGCAAACGGGGAAAATCCACCCCGCAGCAAGGAGTTCAAGATGATTCAGAGGGCCGCAGGTGGACAAGCGTGGTTGTTCTCTCAGATTTCGCAAAAGTCCACGAAGACCCCAGTCTTGGAACCAAATTATGTTGTTCCCAATTGGGCACGCTTCTTCAAGGTAAAGGCTGACCAGTCGCGGCCGGACCCGAAAGCTACTGTCGCTGATCGCCTGAACTGGGCGAAGATGTCCACGAGGACCCACAGAGCGGGTCTTTATTATTGCGTTCAACTCACTTTGCCTTTCTACGTCACAGACGAAAAGCTTGCGGAGGTCCAAGACCAATCCGCAGGCTGGGCAAGGCAGTCCCATGGTACGCCCGTGACCACATTTCATTCAATTTTGGAGGGCCATCAGTTGCTTCCATCTAATCCAAAATACGGAGGCAGCGTCAAGCAGAACGCGATTGGAGTGTAGTCTTTTCCTTGCACTGACAATCC